CACACAAATGTGATCGTAAAACCATCATCGGGTAAATCGCGGAATCCCTGAGTATGCATTTATATTTCTCATCGTCTCCAACTCATCTTTGAGCTTACGTAAAATCTTCTTTTTTTTGTCTTGTCTTGTGATTGATAAGATTCATCGCGTTCATTAATGCAATGGCTAATCAATTTGTGTGTATTATTATTATTTATTTATTTTTATATGTTTTTTTTTTGTATCATTGATGCAAGCTGTTTTTTGGATTTTACTTTTATAATGATGTAAAAAAGGTTTTTTTTATTTATGATATATGTTGCTATTACGAGAGGAAGCTGCTCTTTACAGCGTCTACTGTGTGCATTTCTTTTTGGATGTACATTTATTTTGGTTTGTAACATGAAAAATGGGCAAATTATGGATGAATAGAGACTTATGATTGTGAAATCGAAACTAAATATTGATCGATGTAAGTCGTCTTATACAGACTGTCTAAGGATGACTAACATATTTGGTGATTGGGTGATTTGAGGTCTGGAATGAGTGATTTGTAATTTAATTATGGACATCATGCGAGATTTTTACATCAAATCAGACTTACGCCACCTTATATTCGAAAAAATTCGAAATGTCTTCGAAATTAATGTCGAAAACTTCGAAATTTGAGACGAAAATTTGAATTTTTATTGACCGTTAAGAAAAATGTAAACAAATCAAAAAATTTAAAATCAAAATCAATGATTTAAGCTTCTTTTAACAATGATTTAACTAAATTAACATAATCTTAATTATGTTTCATCACTATTAAATAGTTCACATTAGAAAAAAGAGCTTCAATTAACAATTAATTAACAAATTTATAATTCGTGAAAAAATTCACTTACACATTTACAACTTTTGTTTACTTTTGATATTTTTGTTCTGAAAATTTTTAAAATCACCAATTCTTGCATTTACTTAAGCATTTTCAGTTCAAAAACATTAAAAATATGTCAAAGATTATTTATTTTAAAGAACTAAACAGTTAAAAGCTTCGAATTATGTTGAATAAAGTTTTTTTCCAACGGTTAAAAAAGATTCAAAATATTTAAAAAAAATCGGTAAAACTTCTGTAACTGACAATTTTTAACGTGACGTTAGTCTGCATCAAATATTCAATTATTGACGGTTTTCTTTACAAGAAACTCAAAATCTTTTAAGCAATGGTGAAAAATGATGAATTATTGTGGCAAGTAACAGGAAATTAACATTGAAGAATGAATATTGAAGAAGAATTTTCAATTTATAGATATTTAAAGTTAAAAAATACCGCCATTTTTAATTTCCAACTCAAACTTTGATATTAAAATTTAAAGTGAAATTTGGATTTAAAATTCAATTTAAGTATCTTGAATGACAGAAAAACATGGCAAAAACTATTGAATCGAAAATATTTCTAAAATTTCTAAATCTAAAATGAGTAATTCTTTGTTCATGTTTACGAATTTCTAAAAAAACATTCAAAACCTTTAAATGCTCTTGAGTATTCAACAATGAACTAATCCTATTTATCGATTACTGATAAAACCACAACAATCTATATTCTATCAATAGAACTCAAAGGATAATTCAATAATGAAAGTTTTCCTTTGAAGATGACAGTTCATCTCATTAATTATCTTGATTCCAGTGGAAAATCGAAGAGTTTAAAAGCTTTTCAATTCAAATTCTCATTCGAGAAACCAGAAACCACCGAATACCCAAAACAAAAATTGAAGATCAAACTGAATCGATTAAATCCCTGCATTGATGTTAATCGAGATGCGATAATAATAACAGCAAAAGCTTTTCTGTTCTCGTTCGAAAGAATAACCCAGAAAAGTAACAAAAAAAATTTGGATTCTTGTTGTCAAATGACTTTTAATTAGTTTAATCTTAATGATGACGATATTTCGATAAAGATAAACTCGGATATTTCTATCTAAATGTTCAGAGCGTGTGTTAAGAGCGTTCTTATATCATCAGTGTGTATGTATAATTTCATTATCACTATATTTATAATAATATTGAGTCTCGCGCGAAGTTATTAACATTTTTTTTTTCATATACATCTCAAAAATGAACTTTTTGGATGTGACTTTTTTTTTTGGTTTAATAAGAAAGAGAAATAAAAATGATTGGAAAAATGACTTAACTTTACGTCTACCTTATTTTTTTTCTGATAAATTGCAGTTGATTTTCGAATGAGATGCAGACTCGCTCAGTTAAATGTTCATTTATCACAAGAGAAAGGGTTTATGTTTTTGATTATTACAGGAAGGAATTCGTTTTCCTTTCGAATAGGAAAAAGCTGTCCAAGGTAGCTGCATTTTTCATGAACGAATCATCAAAAATCCAACTGCAATTTATGAAGTTTTTTACTAAATTTTAACATTTTTTTTATATTATTTTCCACCGGTTGAGGATAGGAGCTTGTGGTCAGGATTTTATTTTTTTGCACTTTTTGTTTTGGAAACACACTTGGACACAATCATTTATTTTAGTTTTTGGTTGCTTAAAATAATTCCTCATCATACTCATAATCGGCATCATCAATAATATCCGGACCACAAACTCATATCCTTGATTCCTACATAGCGTTCATGTTTAAGACTCTTCTGTTACCTCTATGTGGACTATAACTATATTCATCACGACGATGGTTAAATCTTTCCTTCTCTTTCTCACGTATTAGATCAACATTATCATTATCGTAACTATTATTCAATAAATTTCTACTATTAGTTCCTACGTAGTGCTCACGCCTGTCACGTGCATCCATCATACGATCCCGTTGATCACGTTGATCACGTTCACGAAATTCTCTATCTATTACACGCCTTTCATCTCTATGCATTGGATATTCATTTCCACTACTAGCACCACCACCAACTGCACTAGCACCACTCACGCCAACATTATAATGTCTATCATTTACCAATTCATCGTCATTTAAATTGTAGTTCATCACATCACGTTCACGTGCATGTATTCGTTCTCTCTCACGCTCTAATCGATCTAATCTGTCTTTTTCACGATCAGGATATCGTGCTGATCGTCTATTTGGATGATAAGATGATGATCCTATAACGATAGTTATTTTGCAATGCAAAATAGGTTGACAAAAAAAAACGAAAAAAGAGAAAAATTTTCTAATCAAAAACATTGCGGTAAAAAAAGCTTGTTAAAAAAATGTTGAGAGCATTCAGAGCATTTTTGTTGGATTTGAATTGTGTTTTTGTTGATTTTTCAGATTCTGCTAATCATTTTTGAGCAATTGAATCTCAAAAGTGCTTTAATTCGTACAAAAAAGCATCTTAAATGAAATAAAAGCTGAAATCTGAGTCTAAATTGATGCGAAATTAGAATCAACAACGGAAGATGCAAAACTTAGCTGCATCAAAAGACGCGAGAATTGATTTTGTGTCAAAAATATGCCAAAATTTATTTTTGGATCAAAAAAGCAAAACCCAGTTTGCATCAAAAGACGCAAAAATTTGCATCAATAGACGCAAAAATTTGCATCAAAAGACGCAAAAAATTGCATCAAAAGACGCAAAAATTAACTTCCAAATGATTGAAAAAACCTACAAACATGATTCATCCAACAAAATTGCTCTAAAATTGCATTTTTCGGTATTTTCAATCGTCAAACGAAATCAAAAAAATGAAATCTTCAAACTATTCTATTTAAAAACAGAATGCAAACCAAAATAATAAAAAAAGTCACTCAAAACAAATCAATTTTTTCTTGCAGAAGTAATTGAATGCGATGGATATAATGTGGAGAGCTTATTATATACTTGATAATCTATTGATTGCAGGGAAACATGGCTTTGAATTTATCAACGGAAAATAATCGAATTGATTAGGAAATGAAAAATTCAAACGGATGATCAGAAGGGGGCAAAATGAGTGCACAATGTGCTACTTACAAACTTTATACATTAATTTTTCTTTTTCTTAAAATTCTTAGAATATAAAATTTAATTTTTTTTTTCTTTAATAGTGACAAAGTGCGTAAAATATTAGGCAACTATGAGTCAATTAGCATGTGCTCATCACTCTGAGTACTTGTTTGTCTACGAATTACACCTTGAACAACTAAAATAGAGAGATTTTAAAAAGGGGGAAAATAGAAAGAAAAAAAAGAAAATCATAATAAAAAAATCTACTTAAAAATATTAACTTAAGTGTGAGTGATTTATGGAAAATTTTAAAAACTGAATGAATGTGGATTACTTTGAAACTTTTAGGGATTCTACATTTGAATGAATGATTATGACATTTACTGTGATTTCCTTGACTAAATTTATACAACATCTTTAATTATTTACGATGAATTATTATTTAATTGTCATTTATAATTTGAAAGTTCTGTCATCTCGGTTTTGTGTCCAAAAGTTAAGACAAGAATTATTGATTAAGACTTCTTAATTAAAGTAGTAAGTACTGCACAAATAACATTATTAATTCCGAATATCATTTAAAGATCCTTCAAAGATCAGCATTATTGAATTTTAAGAAATATTTTTCATGTAAAATCAATAAAATGGTAGAAGTAAATAAAGATTCTTTCTGAATGCTCCAAATCTTCCAATAAATGTCTAAACTAGCTCTTTATCCTACTGAATAACAATAATACAGACACAATTGTGTCTTTAAATCGAGTCTTTAGTCATTCATTGTGATAATTTTCACAAGTTTCCATCAATTTGTTATTTTACCCCACAATCTACGAGACAATAAAGGATATTGAAGAGGATTTGTTAAGAAAAAAAAAGTATGATGAATTATGTGTGTCGGTTAGTGACGAGAAAATGAGACAATCTGGTTTTAAAGTAAAGCTCCAAATAAATTATTTTAAAGCTTCTTGAATTAAAGTTCTTTAAAACTTGTTAAAAACTTCTAAAATACTTTTAAAAATTACAAAAGCTTGAGAATGCTTAAAGTTTTTAAGAATGTACTAACAAGAATATTTTTGAAATTGCGAATTTTCTGTATAATTTATCATAATTTTCTAACGATTTATAGATATGAGGTATTGAAATCATCAAAACCATACATTGCTGAAATAATGGAAAGAAAATGAAAAACAGATAAGAGTAATTAAAATAAAACAATAAATGAAGAAAAGTTAAAAACAAAAATAATTTTGTGTAAAGTCTTTTTAAAAAGTTAAGTTTCGTAGTTGCTGAGTAATGGACATGTTGATGCTTTACCTCCTCTTTGTCTATCCTTCTCTTCTATTTTCATGTAAGCATTTATAGGTTTTGAGAAAATTATAAAATGCAATAATTAATAATAGAAAATTGACGTTGCTAGATATTTTTTTTTTATCACTTGTCTTATAAATCTAATAGAATGAGGAGAAATGAAGAGAAATTAGGAATAAAAGCTCTACATACCAGGAGGTGTTGTTCCCATTCGATCAACCGGTGTCGAAACTTCTTGTGGCAATGGTCTTTGCATTGGTGTTGATCTCACTGGCGGGTGTGTTGCTCTCCAGTAAGCCTACAATTAGAAACAGTTTTGAGAGTATTATTCAAAGTTTCTGATGGCAATATAGAGCTATAAGCTATGGATTCTTGACAGTTATTTCAGAACCAAGCTATTACTGGTTTGACAAAGCTAGAACTTTTGAACTCCACAAGAAGCGTTTTGTTGCTTCCTATTTGCCACTAAGACTATATTATTTGAATTATATTATTGAACCAAATATCTTAAAAAACAATCAAATCTAACCTCTAAATATTCTGCTAAATGATTACAAGCTTCTTCCAACTGATTTTCATCTAAAATTACATCAAACATTTCCGGTGGACACTGACTAAGTTTCTCAGCCGCAACCATCTGTACTGATAAATTTTTTGCTTGAGCTTTACCGCGTGATTTGATTAATCTCTGCAAAACCTGAAAGAACAATGATTGGCATTAAAGAATCTGTAGTTAAGGATAAAATTACAGATTAAGGCACTTGCAATCTTAAATCATGTCATACAAAATCTGTCACAATATTGCAAATCTCATGGAAATGCAATGAAAGTTTAATGACCCAATTTTGAAGGAAAAATTCCGAGAACTTACTTTACTGCTAGCTATTTTCAAATAAACTATAGTTGGTGCTAATGATGTCTTTGCCAACTGTGACGGATGGTTGATAGTATCACAGTCTAAAACTACTAACTGAAGTGTCCGTGCCAATTCAAATATTCTTTCGATCTCAGCCTGCACTTCAGCCAGACACGTGGAGCGACTGCAAAAATAATAATAATTATTATTTTGTATTAGAGCGGAACTTGATTAATGATGTAGCTTAAAAATTAGTAATGTACCTGTTAGATCGCTCCATGATTGCTCGCTTTGAAGGATTATTCATCAGGGATCGTTTAGCTAATGATATATCTGCTTGAACACGAGTTATAATTATCCTAAAAAATGATTAAAGGAAATGCACATTAGTCTATTAAAAATCTTATTCAAGTCTCGACGAGTCATTCATCTTTGTCTTAAAACAACATTTATTATGTGCATTTTTTTTGCGTCAATAAATAAAAGAACCGTTTTACTAATTGACGAGAAAAAAAATGCATGGTAAAGAGAGATGAGACATCTCGAAACTGTCGATTATACCTTGACTCAAACCGATGTTTGAGAAAATCAAATAAAGCTTTTTGCATCATATCAGTTACTTCATATCCTTTCAAGCTTGGTCCCACTAATACTACGGGACGCATTGAAGGAACAACATCATATGGTGACGATGTCTCTTGTTTCTTAAAGAACGGTTTTCGTTTTTCTTTGGTTGGTGGAGTTGCTAGTGGTGTTTTTGGATGACGCGATGCACCCATTGAATCACTTTCATCGCCAGGAGTTGGAGGAGTACTGCCCCTCGATGGTTCAGGAACGGGGGCAGTAGCCGTACCCAAATTCCCACTCGATGAAGCTTTGGATGCATATAATTTTGACGATCGTACTGCAGAAGCTTGAATACGAATGTGTTCAAGCTTCACAGGACTTGGTATGAAGCCAACTTCACAACCCTCCTTAACAAGACGACCAATCCACCAATTATTGTCATATTTTTCCTTAATATGTAAAAAGTCTCCTATTTCAAACGACACCGCACTGCCGTGTACCGGCGAGTCATCGTCGACGCTACCATCATATGATACATTCGTGCGTACTGCAAATGCCACTGGTTTTGTTCTCGCCTTTTCCAGCTGGCCAAGAGCTTGACGCTCTTTCTCTCTCCGAAGAGATTCTTTTTCCTCGTCCAGCGACAGATCGGAAGATGGTTGAGAATAATTTGAATCAGCAGAACCCTAAAATGAGTGAAAGGAAAAAAAAATTATTCAGGCATGCTAGATACTTTTGCCATCTTTAACGTTGAACTCAAAAAAAAAAATTGTAATTTGAACATCAATAATTGAAATAAAATGTGTTTATGAGGATAAATGAATTATTGCAAATACACATTTACTTATTTTGGGGTTCATCCACATTCATTCACATGTACATGAACTGTACACAGTCACACATACACACATCAACAATAGAAATTGTAGTACAATAATTGTAAATCGATCAATCAATCAATCAATCTCTCAAACACGGTGATGGACTGCAAACCTGGGTAAATAGTTTATTATATCCAGCGCCTTGGTATGAAGGATATCCTATACCACCAAGTGAGGCCATACGACCACTGCTTGGGGCATCAGAAGTTGTGTTGGCTCGCTGAACCATCGGCCGTTCAGGCCCCCAATCTTCTTCAACTTTGTCGGATATTTTGTTCGATTTCTAATTCTTACTAAGTTATTTTTTACTTTTCTTTCTTTCTTCGTGTTTGTGTGGTGAATGTGAATTAATTTTTAAAAAAAATTTAAGATAAGTGAAGTTAGGATGATGATCTTGTTGCTTTTTTTTTCTTTTGGGAAGTAAGTTTTTGTGGTGAAATTAAAAATATTTTTCTAATAATCTTTAAAAATTATGTCTGTTTTTGGTCACCCACAAGAAACTACTTTCTTCCCGAAAAGACAAATGATTATCTGGAAGCTTTTGATGTTATTTTAATAGAAATTGTGAATGACAATTTTGTGTTTACAACTTTCTCTAATTGTTCTTATTATCTTGTTTTTAAATAGATACTTTGTTTTGCAATTATAAAATTTACACACTAGCAAACACTACTGATGCTCCACTAATAATAGAAGGAATTGATTTTTTTTTATAATGTTCAACTATTCCATTCTTGTATGTCTCTCATGTTCTTTACACTGCACAAAAAAACGCTTTTCTTTCTTTTCTCGCTCTCTTTACATGTATGTATATGTATATTATATTTTTGATATACTAGAAATAAATTAAAATAATATAGAAAAAAAAGTTCACATTAAAATTTGACTTTATCACATCCCTAAGAATTATTTTATATGGCGTTTATTTTTATTATTTATTGCACTTTAATGACTCTTATGTACGGGAAAAAAGAAATTTTTTTTGAGGAAATACTATCTTTTGGTTCACTTATTTCTATGAAATTTCGTCATATTGACTTGAAATGAGCATTTAAATATTATTCATGCTTTTGAAGCTTAATTTTTTTGTTGATTGCAAAAGCTTTGAGGGGGTTAGCATTGAATTAAGAGGTTAGAGTGCTCGGTAGAGGTGGATTTGGAATTTTTGCATTGAATTAACAGTGGAAACGAGTTATGCTGCTTAGTTTTAGTTGTTTTGAGAATTAAGAATAGATCTAAAATCTCATCAATTAAAATTGATAAGCTTTAAGACTCAAATTCTCAAATTTGACAACTAATGTTGGAATTTTAAGGCTTAGTCAATCTAAATTGACTACTTGAGCATTTGCAAAGTGAAAATTGATACCAAGAACTCGAATTTAGCTCTCTAAAGAAATTGAATCATCTTTAAAATCACTGAATCACAGTTTTCTTTAGAATTTCAATAACTGCGCTTTATGCACTAAGATCCAGTGACTCCAAAACTTTATTTATTTTTTTTTGCAAAATAGTTGAATCATTAAACATTAATGAGGTCACCAGAGCGAAACACATTCGAAAAATGGCAATTAGTTTTAATGGAAAAAATATGCAAACTAGCGCTGTTGACAAGAGAAAGAGTAAGAGAGAATGGAGTATGTAAAGTGACAATCCTTCAACATTCATGAAAATTATTCTTTTAATTCTAATTATCATGTATGCAGGTATTTAAAATAAAGAAAATATCACAATAAATGAAATAATTCATCCTCCTCTTCCTCTTTTCACTGCCATCTTCCATTCTTTGTACACTACTGGTTTGTCGCAGTTTCACACCACTCCTTAGCAAATATGAAAATTCAATATGTTCTGAATATCCTGTCTTATTGGCAATTGGAATTACTTTTTAGTCTTTTCACAAAGTTCAATGCATTTTTTTTCGTGCCTTCATCTTTTTTTCTGTTCACAAAATTCTTTTTAAAAAAAATTTCTTGTTCCTCGTACACTTTTTTTCCTTCTCGTTTAACTCTCTTATGGACATAGAAATGATAAAAATAATTCTAAAATGGAACTAAATTGTGCGATGAAAAATTCCATTTGAATATTTTTTCATGTTTCTTATCGAGCAGGAAAAATGTCAGGAGGGATTTTTTTTCTGTTTTTTTTTTCTATATTAATAATTACAATTTCTCAAATCCAGTTCGTCTGCTCTTTTTCTTTCTTTGCAGAATAAATTTTTTTTCTTCTTTCTATAGCTAAAAAGTCTTAACTTGATATTTTTTTCTTCAATCACTTTTATCACTTTGATTGAATTTCTCTTCACACTTTCTTCATTTCGACTAAAATGACAAAAAACTTGAAATATTTTTATTTTTTTGTTATTTTTTTCCCTAAAAAAGAAAATTCTCTGAATAAAAATGATTAAGAGCCATGACTGAAAGCACACATACGAATCTTTCCGAAAAAATTTATTTTTTTGTTCTGTGTACTGTAGAATGAGAAAAAACAGTGACTTTGCATGGAATTGGAGAAATTTTGCTTATATTTTACACAGTGTAAGAGACACAAGCGATGAAAGTATAGAGCGGCTCGTGCAAGTTTGTGCGCAAGCGTATTTCACATTCTTTTTATGGTCTAAAAATTTACTTCAATGCGTATAGAGAAAATGTTTTTTATACACTAATTAAATTAAAAATTCATATGCTACCTCAGCCTTAGGATTTGAGTATTAATATTCCTAAATTCCAGACCAAATGTCACTGCGACATGTTAACAATCCAAAATTCCGTAAAACTCCAAAATCTAAACAGTCAACTTGCTAATCAAAGCCTGACTTTTTTAGCACAAAAACATCTCCAACACATTCAATCCATCAATTCAACTACAAGCATGAACTTTCAGGCGCACGCGCAATATCACCATTGGCAATTTTACAACTTTCATTCATTCATTTTCGGATTTCGCACATTGAGTAGAAAAAAAAGCTTCCCTACATTTCATATATGTCAAATGCTTTCCTTTCTTCTCACACGCTGATTATTATTATGATTTTTCAAAACGAGGGAGGCGATCACGAGCGAATGTGAGAGGGAGAAGAAGACAAGAAAATCATAAAAAATTATTCATAATTCTGTCAAAAAGAAACGCACCAAATTGAGCACGAGTTTAACGTTTATGCAGCCTCGTGGCTTCTGATTCTGTTTTTTGACTGGAATTTTGAGATTATTGTGATCATTTTGTCAGATGAAGCTGTTTACTTGTAGATTAAGCAGTTAAAAACGGGTTCTGATTCTTCTTTTGGTGATGTTATAGTGAATTTAGTTGTAATTGAACCACACTCAGGAAAAAAATTCAAAAATTTCCACTTTAGATTTTAAAATTTGTCAATTCTAATTGAAATTATTAAATTCAAAGTAAAATTTTTAATTTTTTAAAATAAAGTTTTGAAATTAAAAATACTCATTTTAAAAATCTAAAGTGCAAATTTTTAAATTTTCATTCCAAAATAAAACTTTTGATTTTAATGTACAATTTTTGATTTCGAAAAATTTTGCAACTTAAAGAAAAAATCTTAGATTTAAAAGTTTTTCTTTTTGATTTTTGAAAACAATAATTCGCAGAAATATTTGAAGCAAAACAAAACATGAATGAAATTTCCTATACCTCACAAACATTCGTGCTCTATGTTTTTATGAGTTCTGTCACTTCCATCAACTTAATTTGGTTTAAGATGAAAGATTAATTTAAAAAATAAGAAATTATTATCTCTTAATCTTTACTTTAGATTCAAGAACTTTATGTTTTAACTTAAAAAGTTAATGTTGAGTTTTGGGTTTAAAAGAAAAATTATTTAAAGTATGAATTAAAAATAAAATTTTTGATTACAAAATTTTCTTTTAGAAAATCAAAAATTTTTTTCTTTTAGAAATCTAAAATAATCCTTGGGGTTGCAAATCAAAAATTTTCTATTAGTTTTTTTCATACAAATCTAAAATTAAATATTAGATTTTTTCTTTGAGTTCAGTGTTGCAAATGTAGATGTCTACACTAAATGAAGAATGTAGATTCTTCAATAGTTTTTGTCTAGCTAAGAAACTTTCTTCATAAAGATCGATTCTACATGAAGATAGAAAATCTAATCTACACATAGATTATTTCTATATATAGATTCTGTCTAGGCGAAACTTCATTTTTACGAAGCTTCATTTTTCCGAAAAATTCTTCATGCAATTTCATATGATTTTTAAATTTTAAAAAACCGTTGAGTCTACTATGCAATTACAATTAAATCAGCTTTGTTTTTCAAAATAAGAAGACAAATTAACTGTAAAATATATTTTTAACTGTTTTTAACGAAAATAAAATGCTTAATAAAATCAAAGGTTTTTTAAAATTTGAAAATCATACGAAATTTTATGAAGAATTTTTCGGAAAAATGATATGTTCGGAAAAATGAAGCTTCGTAAAAATGAAGTTTTGAATTTTTGAAATTCGTTATTTTAATATGGACTCTGAATTGAGCTGATTCTAAGTTAATTTTGACAACAACTTAAAGTCTTGAATAGAATTGATCTTTCAAGCTGTTTTTTTTACTGATTTTACTGTTGTATTCTTGATAACAAGTACTATTAAATCCTGAAATTATTAATATTGACAATAAACAACTTGACTTTTTATACTTTTCAATGAAATCGCAAAATAATGTTGAACAAATTGTTCTACAAAGCTTACTGAGATTACTGAATTTATCATTTATCTAAATGTTTCGAATTTTAAAAGACCGTTAAAATATTAATTCGATATTGTCATACAAAATGCGCTCTACTTGTCACTCAGAACAGAATCTTAACTCATTTTCCCGTGTATTGCAGTAGACCGACCACCATCAAGCGAGAATGAGTAATTTTGGAGCAGAAATAAGAACAGGAAAGAAAGAAAAGGGGAAAAATATTAAAATTTATGCTTGTCTGACGTCACGTTCTTGTCGTTGTTCTACTGCATTCCTGCGTTTTATTTCGTCTTCATCTGCTTCTCTTTATTCTTAATACACATTGTATTATGAATGCATTTTCAAGAATTTTATGATAATGCGCATTTTCAGGCGAAATGCATTATTAACTAAATGATTCATATCAAAATGAATTTCCGTGCAATTGCATATTAACTTTTTATGCTGTTCAAGATGACTCAAGAGAGTAAGTTATGCCTTAAGAGGAAAAAAATACATTACTCAATTGAAAATCATACAGAATGAAAAATAAGACAGTGGAAGAAAAAGAAAAACGAAAAATGAGAAGCGATGAATCATGAATGAGAGCGTCGCAGAAAAAAATGTGAAAAAATTATGACGTCATGGATTTTCGCCATTCAGATGATGTGCGGTAGATGATGATCTTAGCAGTGAGAGGAAATTTTTCTTTTCTCATTTTCTTCTTTTACCAATGACTGACATTCGTAGACTTTGTTGCCGCAGAATAAAAAACCAAAATATTTTTACTCTCTCGGCTATCAAAAAGTCTTTATTTGTAATTTTGCTCTAATTTCCCCGGAAAGTTTTTAATTGTTTTTGATGTGTTTTGTTTACTTTGGGGTACTTTCAACCACATTTTGAGAACTAGTTAAGTTCTTTAGAGTAGTTTTCTTTTTTTAAAACAAAAATCTCGACTTAATCACTAAGATGGTCCTTAAAAATCAAATTTAAAGAATTCCCTAAAATTCGAAAAAGCATCAGACAGATTTAAAAATGTGATATCACTTTCGAATGACCTATCACAGTCTGAACTCAAAAAAATACCATGAAAAACAAAAAAATAAATGCAAAACTTACAATTCAAAATGAAAAACAAAGTTGTTTTCACCAAAATTCATTTAAATCTCAAAAGATTGCAAAGAAAACCCACATTGTAGCTCTCGACTTCCTTATCATCATTTCTCTCTGTGAATTTTATAGATTTCAATACAGTTTTGATTATTTTATGAAGAAAATTTGTCAAAATAAACAAATCTACATCCAACACTAGTGTGAAAAAAGGAAAATAAACTAAATAGCCTACTTTATGTGTGCATCTGTGTTTGATTTTAAGGGGATCTGAACACAATTACGGTTTAGCAACAATAACATAATGAATTTAATTACAAGGAAGAGAAAGGAAAATACTGAAGAAGACTAGCACAAATCACAGATGGACTGGGAAGGTTTAGTGCTGTTACTAAGAGGTATTGACAGCATTAGAGTCTTTTATGAAATGATTGTGAGCTTTCGATAGATCATCATATGCATTTGTAATATCTTCTCATATAATCTACAGTTTGATTTACTTTATCCTCAATAGGTTACTTATAAAAAGACTATAAAGACCCAACCATAGTTGTTGCCTTAATTTATCATCCTTTACTGATCTCTTATTATAGCTGGGACAGAGATAGATTAAGCTCAAGATAGGAACATAGTTACAGTAACCAAATGAGTAAGATCGCTCCTCTGAGACATACTTAGAATCAAACAGTTCAAGGTTTGAAAGCGGCTGGTTTGTGAACTGTTCGATTTGTAGTGTCAGTAAAGTTATTAAGTACATCCCAAAATATTCTACCAAAAAAATGCATTTTTTAAGTGCATACAATGAGTGAAACCTAAAAAACAAGCTTTAATCATTTCCGGGACAATTTGACGCAGCACTTTTTGCACCAACTCAATTTTTCTCAACGTTTATTGTTTGTGATCACAACTAGAGCATTCAGCACCCAGACGTGTAAAGAGAAAAGATCTAACCACAATTTAACAATACTTTATGATCACCATGTGTACTTAATAGCTTCAAAAAAGCGCGAGTGTTTCAGAGGAATTTCCATAATCAAATGAAAATAAACAAATTTGTTTTTCAGGCCTCAATTATAAAAACTTCATCTATTCCCTCATCACCATTATTCGGGGTCTTCAAATAAAAAACAAATTTTGCTTACCCGTCTGTTTTTCAACCGAAATGGAGGCTTATAAGTTGAACGATGATGATGGTGATGTTTTCTGTTCATCTTGTTTGACTTTTTGCTTCTTTTTTTTTTTTTTAAATTATCAGAAAACTTTTTAATTCTTTTATTTCAATATCACTAGTTAATGTAAATCGATCAGTTGCCACAAATTGAAAATTTCAATTAACCACAAGAGAATCACTTGAAATACTTGATTTATAAATCAATTTAAATATCTTTTTTTTTGTATTTTTCCTAATCTCAACACAGAAAAAAATTCACAAAAAAAAAATAGAAATGAATTAAGCAACACACAATCAACACAAATTGAGTATCGCGCAATGCTAAAATTCGTCTTTTTTCAACTGTTTTCTTAATTTAAAAGGAAGTCGGAAAATTCCAGATTTCAATTAGGCCAGAGATGGAAATTATTTTATCAAGTGTAGCAATAGAATTGAATTTTTTTTTTATCCATTTTGTTCTCTTAGACTTGAAAAATTATTTGTGTGTTCACGAAAATCTTTTGTTCAAGCGACTGAGAGAAGCAAAAACAGCACCAGATCAAGTTATTTTTAAGTTCACTTTTTCTACAAACTGAAAAAAAATTCATAGCCGCGAAATGAAATTGAAATTGTTTGAGAAAAATGAGAGACTTAAATTGGATTAAGGCGCACTTTTTGTTAAGTGATGTCATTTTAAGAAATGATCAACAACACTTCAAATTTTTAACGGTTTTTAAACATTTGAATAATAATTCCCAAGATAATCAAATCTAAAGAATGTGTCTTCTCGGTAATCAAAAGTAGCTCATTACCCATCATCTCAGTAAAATCTGTTGAAAATTTGAATTTTCCATAAATTTTTTTTTCTAATTTTAAATATTTTTTGACAGTTAAATGTCGAAATCTAATGAATTTTATCAAATACAATTAAAAATAATACAAACAGACAGTCAATAGTCAAATCTCGCTTCATACCCACATTCTCTCCCGAAAAATTGCTCACAAAAAAAAAAAGAAAAATGTGTGCGATGAAAAATCATCACTGAGAAAAGAATTTTCATTTTCTCGAAAGACTCTCATTTTGATCGGCAATGAAAAAACAAAAAAAAATCTCAATTTTTAAAAATGCTCAGTGAAAATACAAAATCTGACGCTTTGAGTAATTGAGAAAGAAAATTTGCAAAGTGGAAATTTCTTTTTTTACTGCTTCTGTGATCGTTCATTGTTTATTTCATTTTCTCTCTCGACTTTTTTCTTCGCAAGATCTCAAAATATTTTCATTTCACTTTTAATTTCAGTTACGAATTTTTTTAAAATTATTTTATTGCGGCAATTTCGTAATTTTTTTCATGATCATTGATCTACTTATGTCTTGTCATGTAGATGTGAATATGAACGAGTTAGTATTTTTTTTATTAAAAATAGCACAAAACATTCACTTTGAAATTGAACTTAACATTGCATTTTTGCCATGAATATTGGAAGTTATAGATGCATATCATATTTGACAATGTAGCATGCATCAAAATAATGAAATTATAATACAAAATTTAATTAAGTCCGTCTCGTATCGAATGTCTACGCTTCTGGTTCTTCCATGCTCTTAAATTGATTAACCTTTAATAGTTTGATATCAAGCTAGTCTTTTGTTTTAAAAATTTGCACGCCATAAAATATGTTCGAACATGCCCTGGAGGCAAATAATCGCTCATCAAAATTATCTCCTGCATCTTAACTGTTTTTAATTTTGACATTGCAGCGAGATTGATCGAAATGATTTGTGATTAATATTATCTCTGATTTAATATGAGACTTGAGTGTCTGAATGGAATTATTAAGTTTGTCAATTAAAGAGAAATTTAAATGATATTTGCAATATTAATTATGTTAACGAAGTTTTTGTAACGACATTTTTGAATTTGAAATTTTGAATGCTTATTTAAATCTAAAAAAGCTGTTATAAAACAAGTCTTCTTCAAATCTAGATTCACCGTTATAATAATAAGTCACTTTTCCAAAAATTTGAATTTGAAATTTTGAATGCTTATTCAAATCTAAAAAAGCTGTTATAAAATAAGTCTTTTAAATTTTTAATTCTTAATTTTACAAACCTAGATTCACCGTTATAATTATAAGTCACTTTTCCAAAAATTTGAATTTGAAATTTTGAATGCTTATTCAAATCTCAAAAAGCTGTTATAAAACAAGTCTTCTAAAATTTTGAATTGCTAATTTTTCAAATCTAGATTCACCGTTATAATAACAAGTCATTTTTCCAAAAATTTGAATTTGAAATTTTGAATGCTTATTCAAATCTAAAAAAGCTGTTATAAAACAAGTCTTCTAAAATTTTGAATTCCTAATTTTTCAAACCTAGATTCACCGTTACAATAATAAGTCACTTTAAAAAAAAATAAAAAACGTACAGATAAGTATTGCTCTTCGCATTCAAAACAAATTAATTGCTTTTCGATATTTCTCAATTTTAAGCTTGCTTCCATCCCAAATTTTTTTATATTAAAAATTATAATTTCTATTCAACCATTCAATTTTCTGTTTCTCATTTATTTCTGCCAATTGATCTCATCTTATATACGCTAAAAGCTGATATTATTACACATTAAAATATTTGAAACTTCATCATTTCCTTTACAGTTAAAAAAATGGTAATACGAGAGCCGTATGGTTGAAATGGAACAAAAATGTAGCTTAGTTGAATTTGCATAAAAAATCCACCTTTCATTCCTACATTTTATTTTTGGCATACTTTAACTTATTACTGTTTCATCTTTTCCCAAAAAAATAGTGAACAAAAAAAATATTTTTTTTTAAAATTTATTTTAAGAAATAAAAGAGAATGCAAAAATTTCATAATTAGCATAATTATCAACATGAAACTATTGATGGAAAAATGGAGATGAATTTAGAAGTAAAAATAAAGTCCAGTTAGATATTTAATTTTTTTTTTGTTTATTTCATGTACCATATTCGTGCTGAATTTGATTAGGTTCATAAATTTTTATGGTTGAATTCTGCATTTTTTATGAAATATTAAGAAGATTTGCTGTATTTTGTGTAAATTTTTAAAAACGACCCCCCCCTCCCCCTTCCCCTCTCAGGCAACAGGCCAGATATATTTGTAGATTCGTCTCTTCATAGAGGATGTAGGTTCGATTCTAGTTTGAATTTATATAATCCAAGAAACTAGTGCAGACTCATTAAGTGCTCATAAAAAGATATCCATAATGAAGTATAAAGCCAATCAATACACTCCTGTCTTCCTGATCCCCAAAAAAAATTTCAAACTCATTTTTGCAACACATTTCATCCATCTATAATTTATGAACGACAACAAAACTGCAAATAAAAATTTCCTTCTTGCCTCGAGCTCGTTAAATTCTAATTGATCTCAAAAACAACGTCGAATCGATAGAGAGGCCGAGATAAGAAGATTGAGAAACGAAGGCAAAAAAAAAAATTTACCGTTACGCATAATTGACGCCAAACAATATACAACATCTTCACATATAGTCGCCATTTACCGAATTCAGAAAAATACCAATTTTATTTATTATTAGAAATCTAAGAAATAAAAGATATTCGGTAAAAAGAAGTTTTTTTTTGAGTTTTGTGTTGCATATTTATTATAAAAAAGGCATATAAGAGATTATTATTGAGGAGCATTCATAAAATTCTTAAACATCACAATCATGTTTGTCCAATGAGAATGAAATTTTCGTGCAGCAGCAGCAGCAAAAAAAGCTGCAATAAAGTGAGTGAAGAAGGCAAGAAGTTAGAAATTTAATTTTAAATTCTGTATTTTGCTGCTATACATATTTTCGAGAAACTAATTTCAAACTTTACCTTTTTTCCTCTCACTCTCTCGCTCGTCCAATTTCGGGAACATTAAGGGAAAGAAATAAAAGTAAAAAGGCAGAAGAACGCAAAATTTACTTTTTCTTGGAATTTCTCGATTCATCGATGGGACGATTATATTATTTTTTTGCTCGTTGCCCTTTAATAGGAAACTTAACTAATGCACAATGTGCTGTGCATGCATTTATTACTTAAAAATGTGCATGTGTAGAACATAAAAATAGAAATTTTGTATGCCACACATTTTTATAACTGGACTCATTGCTTTTCAATGAATTTATGTCTGCAGGCTATTGCATATGCATATTTTGTGACATAAAATGTGTTTTTCTCTAGACTAAGGATCTTTTTTTTTGTATGCCTGAGGTTACTTTTGAGATATTTTCATGTGTTTTGCGGACAGAGTCGAGTATTTGGTTGCAATTTTTGAGTCTTCAAGGCTAAACTGTATCAAGGTCGAGTGAAGAAAATAATTTTTTATATTTAAGAAGAATTAGGGCAGTTTTTTAAGTTGCAATTAGTTTTGTTATATTCTTGCCTCTTTTTTCTTCAATAATTATCTAATTTCACATCCTGGTTCTCCTTATTAATCAAAATAATTCAATTTTAAAGTTAAATATGAGACAAAATGGAACGATTGAAAATTCAAATTCCAAATAACTGTTAAATATTATCTCTAAGATATCTCTGAGTCAGCAAATTTACAATCCAAACAATCATTTTCACAACAGACTGCCTACAGTTTTCTTACAAACTTTATTTGCATTAGACATCTAACTGAAATAAAGTATATAGACACAAGCAAAAATGTGCAGACATTTCATTCCCATCCCATCAACATCATTGTCTTACACAATATAAAAATATATATTTTCTTATTAGAAACCCTTCATAAATCTTATTAGACCTTGACAAGAGATGATAATTTCCTTTCGTAACCGCTTGCCTGCATTTTACATTTTCCTCTCTGACATTTCATATCATCATCAAACTGCTTACATTGTATAGATGCAGAAAAAGCTGTTGTGAATTGTGTTAGAATGTTATTTAATGTTTGGATGGTTAAGTAATCACTCGCGAAAACATGTTCTTATTGGAAATCTTCTTTAGTGGTAATACATTGTAGTTAACTAGATTAAATTTCATTGCAAGTGTTTTTGTTGTGTACTGAGAAGATGATGTACATAATTTGAACATGTCTAGGACAGAGTTTCTTAAGTTTTTTTA